CTGTCTGGAAGAGGATTCTAGCGACTGGCTGCTCTGATCGGTAGTTTCCCGTGGTTTCTCCGATCAATAAGAGGCAAATGCCGATGCGGTAACCCAACAAAAAGGCCACGGGGAGCGCGCGATCGTTCCGTCCTCTGCCTCTATCTACCTACCTCCTCGTGTCCTCATTCCTCACTTACGCACTTACAGTTACACGCACTACACTACCTTAGGTGTCGGGAGCTTAGAGTTTGTCTCGGCCGGAGCGGTGCCCCGCTGCTGGGAGATACTTGGGTGTGGAAAACCAAGCCGACCCTGAAAGGCGCCGGAGATTGTTATGTGGTACGTGAAGATCACCGCCATCTCTAGCCACGAAAACATATTCTACACTTATGGGACTACTGACTTTACCATTTAACGCATTACCATTTAACGCTTTACCATTAACTTTACCATTTTACGCATCACTAACCAGACAATATCTGAGTATTTCCTAAACAAACTGGTCACGGACCGCGCGATCTTTGCTTCTGCATTCTTGTCCCTTTCCGCTCCCTTTGCACACACACACACACACACACACATACACACACTTGCATGCACTACACTACTACAAATGTCGGTAGACCCGCCGCGAGATTAGAGTTACTCCCAGTTGGGGCGGTGCCTCGTTATCAGAGATACCTGAAGAGGGATATCCCAGGAAGCCATAATGTAGGTAGTCACCTTATCTCCTGTTTTTAATGAGGAGTAATATCTCACATTCCGTGACAAACATGCACTACGCCTTCGGGACGAATGAAAATAGTGAATTGAAACAAATTATCAATCAATCGTGCATTGCAGGAAGGGAGTGTTAATTTTTCATCTTTTGTATTTTATTGCTATCTTGGCCCTATCATTAGCTTTCCAAGATTGTTAAATGATTTTATGGGTAGAGGATGACATATCTGATGATGAAAGTGACGGAAAAACAAGCAATGGAAATAAAAGTAGACCAATGAAACCTACCCTGAATCTCCATACATTGCAATTTTTTATTCTCTTCACATTGCGTTTCTACGACTTGCATACCACTACCGATGTGTTCTAAGAATTAAGGACCGTGCCTAGGGCGCAATGAGCAATGGTATAAGATAAGAGAAGGCAGAAATCGGGAAGGGAGAAGTCGCTAGGATACTGCCTAGCGATTGCCCGTGCCCAGCAGTCAGGCTTTCCCTTAGCTCCGACCATAGTTCAAATCCCTGTCGGACCACCTATATTTAGTGGCGGATAAAAACAAACTTGGAAAGTTTTCGTCCGTTTATCCCGCATTCTTTGTATTTCATAATTCCATCGTCATCATTGTCACGCGGATTTCATCTAAACTGCTATTAGAGGAAGTAATATTACGTAAACGAACATGAGTAATCTAATTTTTCAATACCCGGGGCTCACAAAATATGTGTTGTCAAAATATATATACTTTTTCCTGCAGTATTAAGTAACTTTTTCTTACTTCTTAGTGGTACACAAAAAAGTAAAAAGATATATTTGGTAAATCATCTCCTTTTTGTCATTCAACAAAATTTTGAGTTTAAGACAAATTAATATATATTTTGAAATATATTCACTGTCATATATATATAGTCGTATTTAATAGTCAATAATCTTCGAAAATTGCTCAAGAAAGTACAGTTCATCCTTTTTGTTTTGTACTTTTGAAAAACCATGATAATGCCAAAGATTTGCCTTTTTCAGATGCTACTGTCGTATCGATATTATTGAGAACGACATACGCGTTTCGTGGATCGCGTATTCATTTTCGAAAGTGCATTTTTGTACCATGTATCTTTATAAGTTGCAACTAAAAGTATATGAGAAATGTTTTGTGCATACTTTTGAATGTTTTTACGATGGTAAAGCACATTAGTAAAGGGCACAAAATAATTTAAGAATAAGAAGAAAATAGGTGCAATGTGTTTAAATGACGGTAAGATCTAATGTAAATAAGTTCTAATGATGGTGAAATCCCTTAATCTTACGATTATTAGAAGGGTGTTTATTAAAATGCGATCACTTCATCGGCATACATGGGAGGCGTTGTTGAGGTATTTAGAAAAGATTTTAATATCTTTAACAATTTTATTGTCATGTTCATCAATATTATTATTCATTAAATTTTGTAAATAAAATATAATTACAAGGTAGCATGAATGTATGAAGTATGAAGAAAAATCAGAATAAAATGCAAATTATTTTCATGTTTTTAATAATTCTTTAACAATATTGTCAGACATTTTGTCTGTTCTGCAGCATTGCCTTTCTTGCTTTGAATATATAAACAAATGTACGGAAAATAATTGTGGTAAACGAATAGTTAGTGCTATGAGTTCGTGTGGTATTCAAATTTACAGAATCGATTTTCGATTTAAAGTTTTAAAGTTGCATTGTAAATCTTAAGCGCCATTACGATTTAACATTGTTTAAAATTTCGAATGACTAGTCAATGAGACTTTTTGTATCATAGTTTATCTTAAATAGTGTCACGTGTTGCTGTATGAGACTATGTGCAGTAGATTTTCTTTTTTCATTCATAAACACTGACTCTTACTTTCTAATCCCCTTTCTGTCTTTCTCTCTCATTCGGTCCATCTCTCTCCCTTCCCCTCAGCAAGGCAGGCAGTCGAGAGGACAGGAAGGAAGTACGACGATTCCGCGACGCTGAGGGGAGGAAATGAAGGAAAATCTCCACGCACAAATTGGTCAATTTGGGCGGCGTTCTGTAATAAGTTCTTCCGAGCCCCTGCTGACTAGACGGTTAGGTCAAATGTGACACGACGAAATTTTGAACTATTTCTACGACGATGTAGGAAAAGGTTAAGCAAAGGAGCCGAAAAGAAATACGCACTGCATTTATACTTATTTTCTCCCTCTTCCGGCAGTTGTGGCATCATCAACCCATTAACTCTGCCTTTCACTCGTCCGTTCTCAAAAACTAAATCATTTTGTATTTAACAGGATGGGTGCTCTTTTGTACGGAGTTAATCAAAATATGAAAACTGTTTGGCAATGCAAAGATATGAATTCTGGAAAAGTTTTGTAATACTATTATATCCGTTATAATCAATTAACCACTTTTTCCTTTAAAATAAATCACATATTTGGACGTACACATATAACGAACTACTTTTGTTTCTAGAAATGTTTACATGTAATAATATTATCCCATCTCAATACACGCTTACTGTATACAGAACCTTCTGGGTAAACGTAATTTACTCAATGCTCTCCACAATATTTTTCACAGTGAAAACTAAAATATCCTGTAATGTATCTATGTCAACTCAATGAACAAACTAATTCGTGGTTCCCTAGACACGTCAGAATTGACTGAATGTAGAATGTGTAACTTCCCTTTACTTCATAAATAACCCTCATTTATATTCGGGAACCTAGGGATAAGAGATACTTCGCAAACTAGGACAGCATTAAACGCGTGTGTGCATAATGTGATGCAACACAAGAACAAAATTACAAAGATGACGGTAGATCAATATCTGTCCTGTTCTTGAATGTAGAAGGGAGAGTGAATACAGACTTCAACGCTAATAATCTACTAAACGTTTTGGCAAGCAAAGGAAGCATCATACGAAAGAAGTAAGTACAGGGTAAAGTATTACTGATGACGTATTTCTCATAACAAGTAAAAATTATAACATCCCGGAAATATCGAAAATACACAAAAACATTCTATGAATCAGTACACATTGTCTTCATTATTCCCGTGAAAACAGAAACCATTACTAGAAAACATCAGCTTCCTATTTTAATTCATTTCAAAACTTCAGTTTTTCGTAAAACGATTATTAATTGGCACCGTATGATATTAATAAATTATCTGACGTGTCATTTCAAAATGGAGCTACATTCCTCAGGAAGAAGAATCTGTTTGCGGGCACGTTTAGGCGAGTGGTGGGGGCCGTCGTACAACGAGCGGAAGGGTCGAGAAGGAGAGCGCCAGCGGAAGACGGAGAACACACGGCTCCCCGGTGCGCGTCATTGCACGTCATTGACTCGGGCAATCATCATTGGTCACCGGCGTGGTGGCCGCGGGTGGGGGCAAGCGTCGCTGTCAGAGAACACTCGACAAGGAGAATACTCAAGAGGGGGAGACGGAAGACGCAAGACGTCACTCTCCGCGTAATTCCACGTCACTGCCTAGCACAATCATCATTGGCGAGCGGTGGCGCATTCTGCCCGCCTCTCGCCTCCCACCCGTTGCCTCCTCCCTCCCACTGTCCGCGGGGGGCAGTGAGAAGGGCAACGGAGGCGGAGAAGGCGATCGGTGATTGGTACCTGCTCCAGATACGTCATAATCGGCTTGTGACGGAACTCGCTCATTACTTATTAAATTCGCACGTACCTCCCATGCGGCCGCCAGTCTGTAGTGGATGTCGGAGTGGACGGTCGCGGGTCTCCAAGGGAGCCTCACGATGGATCGACGTGCACTTGAGGAGATGAACAGACAGACACGACAGCCTGAAGATCCGGGCGAACTGCCAGTGCCGCCCGCGCAGTTCGTGCCTCCAGCGCCACCTGTGCCGCCCGTGCCACCCGCGCAGTTTGTGCCATCTGCGCCCCCTGGGCCGCCTCTGCCACCCGTGCTGCTCATGCCATTTGTGCCACCCGCGCCGACTGTGCCGCCCATGCCGCTTATGCCGCCCGTTGCGGCCATGCAGCCCGTACCGTCTGTGCCGTCTGCTCCGGTGCCGCTCATGCCGCCCGTTGCGGCCGTGCAGCCCGTCCCACAAGTGCCGCTCGTGCCGCCTGCGCCGCCTGCGCCGCCCATGCCGCCCGTTGCGGCCATGCAGCGTGTGCCACCTGTGCCGTCCGCGTTGGCCATGCCGCCCATGCCACCCAACCCGCCCGTTCCGCCTGCCACGCCCATTCCAGGAAGGCCACCTCCGGCGCATCAAGTTGTGCCCGACTCCGTCTACAGGAACGAACTGCGGTTGGCTGGAGACCCAGCGAGCGTAGCCATGTTGCTGGGGTTGGCTGGCCCGGCATCGCTGCACGCCTACCGTCCACAAGGTAGGAAATTGGCAGAGCGACGTGCCGCAGTGGCGCGAAGTGACCCGAATGTGACAAATCCAAATAAAGAAAGTGCTACAAATGTTCCAACCGCACCGGTTCTGGAAGCGTCAACATGTACTCAGCAGAAGGAAAATCCAGGGCCCTCTGGAAAACTCCCATTACATCAAGTGCTGCCAAGTGATGAAGAAAAGTGTTTCGAGAAGCTTCAAACTCCTTTTGTGTCAACGGGCCCTTCAAACAACATTTCAAAGCAATCAGAGATGAACACAGAGATGGGCTCATCGGTGACTGATACTTCAGCTCATTCAGCTACATCGGCCTGCAAAAATCCAAAATGTTTGGTGCACACTCTTCTTGCTGACAGAGAGGAACCCAAGGTTCATGCAACGGCGTCGACGACCAACAAGGAAGAGCAAGTGTCTGAACTACCTACCGATTCAATGGAGCAAAAGGGTGAAGACTCAAGCCAAGTGCTGTCGAGTGGCAGCACACCTAACTTGGAGCAAGAGGAAAAAGAAAAGACGTTGGTGATAGAACCTTCAACATCTACGCCGAGCAGCAACACATCTTTGGCAAAGGTTGCTTACTCAGAAACCCCACGGGTGCAAAATGATCGTGATCCTACAACTGCTGCATCGAGCAATATTGCACAGAATGTGGAAAGTGCTCCATTAGTAGCGTTTTTGATGCCTCCAAATTATGGATCTGCCGTTGCTAAGTCAAAAGGTAAAAAGAAGAGTTCGGGTAGAAAGCTAGAAGACCCACTTGCGTCAGCAACGCATGGTTATGAAACTCCTCATCCATCCATCAGTGGAACAAAGAATGATCAAAAAACACCATCAGTTGATTCATTGTTGCCACAATATCAGGTTTCCATGGCAGATCCATCAGGCAACGTATCCAAGATAGGAAAATGTAAGACAGAGCCAGCGAGGAAAGGTCTTAACCCTGCAGTGCCTTCGCCGGTTAGCAACACACCGCTTGCTGATCGTCTTCACTCTTTGATTCACCAGAGTTCATCTGAATTTTCAGCAGATATGACTTCTGTAAGTCAACCTTCAGGTCGTTCGAAGCAAAAATCAGGAAAGAAATCGAAAGCATTCATGAAGCCTGCAGAAACTGCAGTATCAAGTGAACTTCCTGTCCCTTCAACATCTTCTGGCATTACTGCTAGTTCTTCAGACAGAAGTCTGCCCCAAGCTCGTCGCAATGAAAGTGTTGTGAGAGCACCACTTAGAACAGTGTCCGGCGGTAACATTCTGCATGCCATTGATCATGCAAGAATGAATGCACCCAACCGGCCTCTGCCACCCACACTAGCTGCGCAGAGGTCTCAAAGAGGCGCTACCCCCGACGTTACGAGGCTAATCTCGCCTGGACCAGCCTACGCTCGTAATGCTTTTGAGCAAAGTTACATCAACGCTTCCCGCGGCACGCTCGTAGATGACCCAAATATTGCCCGCTATGCAAAGCGCATCAAAGTCCAGCCCTATTACTTTCCGGTCATGCAGCAAGCAGAGAATCCTACACTTTCTGCATGGCGTAATGCGCAGTACAACCAACCATCAACATCTACAGCTGCTCAAGCAACACTTCCCGGACCATCACAAGGGGGAAACAGACTTTATGTTCACCCAGCTGGTGACACTTCCCAGAACAGGAACCAAACAGCTACTCCTTCACCACAGGAAAGTGCCGGCGGGAGAGCTACAATTCAGGCCGACGGTACATTTAGAATTGTGCCGAATGCTGGTTTCATTACACCGTCGGCTGGAAGAACACCTCAAACATCAGGCGGAACTAGTTATGATACTTCGTCTTCTGGAGCGGCAAGAACGCGTCTGACCACTGGCAGCACTAGTTCCCATACGTCCCATTCTGTGGCAAAACCTCAAACAACTGGAGGAACTAGTTGTAATACAGCGTCTTCTGGTATGTCAAGATTAATTGCTAACCCAACTGTCGGGTCTAATTTTGCTATGTCGCCTCCTGGTACGGCGCCTACAACCTCCCAAACCGCCGGCAGGGCTAGTTATGATATTTCGATTTCCGGAGGGACTGGAACAACCCTCACTACTGGCGGAGCTATCTCCGGAGACTCCTCTTCTAAAAAGCTCAGTACAACGCCTCAAACAACCGGCGGGACTAGACCTTCTCCCCCGGCTTCTGGCATTTCGGGAACTATGTCCCAGGCATCTGCGGAGGCAAGTTCAGCCCCCCTGCCAACCGGAGGGGTTAGAGCTAGTAAACGTGGTGGTGGCGTTTCCAGATCAAAGAATCGCGCAAGAAGTGAAAAAGAAATTCCAGCTGGTGGTTCTGGAGGTGCAGGAGATGCGTCCGTAGATGATGGCAGAAACCGTGAACCACCACAGGCGTTGCGTGGGGACACGCCACAGGCTGAAGACACGCCTGGGGTAAAGCTAGAGGCTAGCTCTACAGGCGGGAATATGCAGGAAACGGGTGGCGAACCTCTCCCTAATGACCTCCCAGATTGGGTTTCTCCACATTTAGTAAATGATTATTACCGAGCAATGCATCTTTCCACTCATCTTGAAGGAAGAAACCACTTTACACGCCGACGGCGTGATGAAAAGTCACCAAAATGCTCTGAACACTTCCGGGGATTTTGGAACATCAACTGGGCGCCGCTGTTGCAGGAAAAGTAAGTATTAAAATCTCGTTTTCATTCTCTCCTACATCTGTTCTCATCTACAGTGTTCCTACTTTAACCTTGATGTACTTCTTTCTTTCATTTTTGTTTGTATAGAGAAGTTATTTAATTTCTGAAGTGGTACTCATCAAGCTCACTCAGCTGCTTGGGTGTCGTTGTGAATTTACATTGAACGTACATTCGCCTCATTCCAAAAGCAAACAAACATAAATTGTGGCAATCGTCGCATATTGATACGAAACATACTGATACGAAAATGGTGGTGATAAGGAGATGAAATGTTCCAAATATAAGAATTTATTCTCTTGGTTCTGCGTTTGTCTATAAGATTAAATTTCTAGTCGAGAATATTTTATTTGCCCGAAGATCACAATCGCAAAATTATAATTCTGTGAGATTATAATAATTTTCAAATATAATCATAATACTCAAGTACCTGTTCCTCATTTGTCTTCGCGAGACGAAAGAATCTGGAATAGAAAATATTGCGAACAAATACGGTAAAATATCGTCCAACTCTGATTCATAGATTTTAATATCACAATGTTAATTTTCTCATCATGAGATCAAAATTGATCTTTAATAGATTTTTAAAACTATTTACATTCACATTTTACAGTACAATGTTGTAGGAAGCTGATTCCTCCTGTGTGTTTCATGCAGAATTGCGTATCCGAAATGCAATCCCCTTCTTTTGACTCGATAGATTCGCTCCAGCACACCTCACGACGTTCGTTTCACACAATCCAACGTCAGACAAACTGGAGTTCGGCAAGGAGCATATTCCTATCGCGCACGGAACCGATAAGCCGAAGCAATACCGCGTACTCCTGCCATCGCGCAGCCGCTAAAAAGGGTTCCTTGATCCTCCGGCGAAAGAGCGCCCCCCCCCCGCCCCCCGGGGGAGGCGGGCGCTAGAACGAAGAGCCTCCCTCGCGCAGCGGGACGCCGCGCCGCGCTGCGCGGGGCGGTCGTCAGAGTGACTAACGCGCACCGATAAGGGCGAACTGCTCATGTGCTAATGTGAGGAATTCTTTGGGAGGGAAAGTCATCTCCCAGTTTACCCCGTGTATCTGTGAGAGAATACAAAATTTATTGTTGCTTGATGATACGTGTTTATGCGGGCTCCGAACGGTGCGCGTTCGGAGACTGCGACGGTGGCGGCGGCGGCGGCGGAGGCGCGCTTGGCCTCCGCCGGCGCTACCGCCGCAGACGCCGCTGCCGCTGCCGCTACCGCCTCCGTCCCGACCGTCGTCGCCGCCGCCGCGTCCTAATGATGATTACCACATGTGCCACCTGCCCTCGCTTATCTCACCCCCGCGAGATAGAAGACGCCGCCTCCGTCCCCACGCCCCCGTGCGGGCCGCCACCGCCGCCACCGCCGCCCCGCGCCCGCACTTGGCCTCACCGCCGCCGCCGCGCCGCCGCCGAAGGGCATGTATGCATACGTGACGGGGGGTGGGGCCCGAGAAGGTGCGGGGCGCGAGACGGCGGCAGCTCGCGCGAGAAGGGTGCCCGAGAACGACGAAGGACGAGAGGCGACGAAAAAGCGAAGAGAAGAGAGTAAGATAGAGAGATATTGTAAATTTCTGGGTTCCGCTTTTCTCCCTCTAAATCGATGGTGGGGTTGCCATAGCGACTCTTCCGGTTTGGAGGCCGCGGCTGGCGCCTGCCGCGAGGGGGCGCCCGAGATGGTATCCCGGTTCCGAGTCGGCAACCGCGGACAAAACACGCGCCGCATTTCATGGCGAGGCGTGGCGGACGGGCCGCGAGGCGTCACGGCGCGCGACCGGCCACTGACGCCGACGGCGGCGCGCCCCGCGCCCCGCAATTGCCCGGGGCGGAGCCTACCTGCAGGCGCAGCAGGCATCACTCCTGCAATTTTCCGACTCAGAGGGCGGTTTCTGCGAGGGAACTCGGAGCACTCGAATGTCGAAGCGACGCTGGGGTTCCAAGATTCTCAAAAGTTGGCGTTCGTTTAGACAAAGGGAAACGGTTAGAAATTGAAGAGCTCAGTAGAACTAGGGGCCATTCCACATTGTTTTTGTGAAATTGAGTTGTTAGAATTATTTAAAACTTCAAATATTATTCTTTTAATGTAATATGTTATTTAAATTCAGTATGGACTTACATGCATGTGTGTTGTGTTCACAGTTTTAAAAATGTAGTGAGTTATATGAGGGACGTTAATGTGAAACTCTCATTATTTCAGAACTATGTGTATGCTGGATGCTTAACTGAGCCCGTCAATTTAGAAAGCAAAAATTAAGTTACACGCCTGCTTTAGTACGTATTCTTTATTTTCGTCACAGTTATCGAGGGCAGGCGTAAAAAATTTTGGGGACGAAAATTAACAAAAGAACCGTGCGCAGTTTTCAACCCATGGCAATCGGGTCGATAGCGGATTACATCTGAAGGCCCAGTTGGCTGTTCTGCTCTGACTCCCTAACGCAACAATTATTTCCTCCGTGGAACTGTGTTAACTCGAAAGTCGAAAGAAAAAAAATATTTCTAGTATTGGAATATTCCGATATATCAGGGTTCGTGTTGCGGAAGGAAACTTTAGTAAGCAAAAATGTAGTAACATGCTAGTTTTTGCCAGGGGCTTTATATCTTTCATTTCTGAGTGAGAGACGTATGTCACTTTATGACAATTATCTGACATGTTAATTAAATAAATTATCTGATGTATTAACTGAGCGAACATCAACTTGCTGAGAACGGGTTCCAACGTCCGTAAAATATAACAATATTTTACTCATAATTCTCGATGCTTGTATGAATATCACTAGAACGTCGCAGTTGAATTTCGGGATGAGGGATTAACGATTGAACATTCTTTTTATTACGGATATTATAAATTTACGGAGCAGATGAAATGTAAAAATGAGAGCGTAGGCTCCCGCAGCCGGAGTCAGTATTTACTAGGCTGTCCGGGTGACGCCGCGTCCATGGCGAAGGTGGCGACGTTTCGGTCGCCATTCTGCGACCTTTCTCAGGGCGTAATGAGGAAGGTCGCAGAATGGCGACCGAAACGTCGGTACCTTCGCCATGGACGCGGCGTCACCCCGACAGCCTAGTAAAAAAATGTAAAAAAAAACATATACGAAGGAATACACATAAGTATATTCATTTCGTCGGGATATGAATTACCCAAACGGGTTTTCCATGATCAGCAACAACCCCAGCAATACGACTGCGTGGCCGTATACACTGCCGTCGTGTCAGCTCCTACTGATTCACTCGACCTCGCCTCTTTCAGTGTCTCCTCTCGTCAGTGCACTCGCGCATTCACCGATGTTGTTCCCATATAAGCCAAAACGTGCGCGTCTGCCGAAAACCTAAACACCTTTCCAAATTCCATACTCTTGTACTCTCTCTACTGCCACCTTCTGTCATCTGTCTACCGTAAGCTGCCTCTGCCACGCACGCCACAGCCCGTAAACCGTCGTCAGTCTCCCCTGCTGCCGACAATGGTTATCCAGTTAATGCCAGCATCCTGCTCACGTCACCACATGCACATCAGATGATAACAGCCTCAGCCACCCGCCCCACACCACCAAAATTGCCGTCAGCCTCCCCCGCTGCCAACTCTGTCACCAGCTGTCACGTTTCTTCAAATCCGGCTCAGGTCACCACAGCCACATCAGTTGGCTACTGTCCCTGCCACCTACTCCACACCTCCGAATCGGCCGTCAGCCTTCCTCACTGCCTAAACTGCCTCATCTGCTGTCACGTCGCATCGAATCTACTCACGTCACCACAGGCACATTAGCTGTTAACTTCCTCTGCCACCTATACCACCCTCCTACTCGTCCCTCATATGCCCCTGCTGTCGTCAATACCTCTCTTGCTGTCACGTCGCATCGACTCCTGCTCACGACACATGATATGTTATGCCTCTGCCGCCCACCCCACCCTTCGTCGTCAGCCAACCTCGCTGCCGACACATCCTACCCTGCTGTCGCGCCGCTTCGAATCCTGTTCACATCACCACGTGCACATCAGCTGCTAACTGTTTCTGCCACCCGCACTACCCTCCGCCGGTAGGCAGCCTTCCCCGTTGCCGACACTGCCTTCCCTGTTGTCGCGTCGCTTCGAAACCTGCTCACGTCACCACGTGCACATCAGCTGTAAACTACCTCTACCTCCCACGCCACATCCCCTATTTCGCCGAGACTCCCCCGCTACCGACTCTGCCTCCCCTCCTGTCGCGCCGCTTCAAATCCTACTCACGTCACCACGTGCACATCAGCTGTTAACTGTCTTGCCACTCACTCCACATTTGCTACTCCGCCGTCAGCCTTCCCCGTTGCCGACACTGCCTCCCCTGCTGTCGCATCGCTTCGAATCCTGCACCAAATGCACGTCAGCTGTTAACTGCTTCTGTCATCTACTCTACACGTCCTACTCTGCCGTCAAACTCTCCCTCTGCCGACACTACCGCCCCTGCTGGGGCGTTGCTTCGAATACTACTCGTGTCGCCACACCGGATCTGCCTTCCCGGAAGTCGCATCGCCTTCAACTCTGCTCCAACCTTCTGCGAATTAGCAGTTAGTCGTGTCTGCCACCCTTCCTATACTCTCTTCCCACGCCGTCACCATCACCGTGCTCCCGGGAATTTGACCTCTACTGACTCCCGCCTCTACATTGCCCTAGCCTCCACAATCATCTGCGGATAAGCTGATAAGCCTCACTCCAAGGGGAATTCCATCGCCCTTTCCTCTTCCATTGCATTTACCGCCACCGGCGTTATTTCCCCCTGCGCGGAACACGCTTCTCCGCCGACCCATCCGTTTTCTTTGCAATGTTTATTGGTATATTGCGGTCATTTCAAGTACTGAAATTTTGTAAACGTTTTAAACACTCTTAAATAAATCTTTCTGTCAATGTTAATTTTCCGGGAACAGCATAATTCGAGTATATGCAATCGACCAATCATATAACTCGCTTATCGCTCCCCGTTTTCTCGTTCCCGCTCTCTATTCAAC